CGATATCCTGTCCATGAATATCACAAACAGAATTGGTGACAAAGCGCAGCCCTGACGAAGGCCAATCGCAAACAGTATTCCTCTTCGATCTGAGGTTCGACTATCGGCCGAACCCTCCGTTACAGCACCCTGGAGTAGACTTTACCAGGGAGGCTGAGAAGTGTGATACCCCTGTAATTGGCACACACTCTCCTTTTTGAACAGGGGAACCACCACCCCAGTCTGCCACTCCTTGGGCACTGTACCTGACTTGCATGCAATGTTAAAGAGACGTATCATCCAAGACAGCTCCTCCACACCCAAAGCTTTTAGCATTTCTGGGCGGATCTCATCAATCCCAGTGGATTTTGCCACAATGGAATCACTTTGGGTGGACACTGTAAATATTTTGCACTGTTTAATCCAGCAGGTGGCGGTGATGCCAACCGCTATAAAACGAAAAAGAAGACTCAGGCCCCGATCAGACAGAAAGCGCTTTGTGGGTTTGAAAATGCGAGGCGCACAGCAATGGCTTTTGGTTGAATTTAGAAAAGCAACTGAATCAGCTGTCCTGTCAGTCTAACCATATATTATAGCGCTGGCGATCTGTAATCTTTGGTTTGCCGCTAATTAATAACTGTCATATTAGCAGAAACTTGATCACAACTCACAGGTCTGTGTCTTTTGTTGCTAAAAACATCTGCCAAACACGCCTGCTCTGGCACTGGTTTGAGTGTAAAACTGAGATCCGTGTGGGTACATGAGACTCTCAGAAGGAGGAGACACCGCTGGTAGTAGGCTACCACCGGGAGCTTCGTCTTAATGATGGTCGGTTTAAGGCTTATTTTAGGATGAGTCAGGGACAATTCAAGCAACTGTAAACTTCTGTCAGCACAACTGCCCGTCTCTCCATTCATTAGATTGGATAATGGGGAAAAAAGCGCTAATGACATCGGTCACGAGTTGAATTTTTTTCATCTCCGTGTGCTCAGAGCCTCATTCAAAAATGTAAGGCGCAGCAGGCGAGTTAACTGCACTCAGAACAGCAAAGAAAACAAGTTAAAAAGGAGCCTCTCACTGCATAAAACACATTCTGTCTGATCCGTGGAGGGGGTGAGGTCTTCAAAAAGGGGTCGGACTGCCAGAAAGGTTAAGAACCCCTGCTCTAGACGTTCCCAGTTCACCCGCACTACCCGTTTGGGATTACCAGGTCTGTCCAGAGTCTTCCCCCACCCCCTGACCCAACTCACCACCAGATGGTGATCAGTTGACAGCTCCGCCCCTCTCTTCACTCGAGTGTCTGAAACATGTGGCCTCAAATCAGATGAAACGATTACAAAATCGATCATTGATCTTCAGCCTAGGGTGCTCTGGTACCACATACACTTATGAGCATCCTTATGTTGGAACATGGTGTTCGACAATACATGACTAGCACAGAAGTCTAACAACAAACACCCACTCGGGTTCAGATCAGGGGGGCCGTTCCTCCCAAACACGCCTTTCCAGGTATCTCCATCATTGCCCACATGCACGTTGAAGTCTCCCAGCAAAACTATGGAGTCCCCTACTGGAGCCCCATACAGAACTCCATTCAGGGTCTCCAAGAAGGCCGAGTACTCTAAACTGCTGTTTGGTGCATATGCACAAACAACAGTCAGAGTTTTCCCCCCCACTACCCGAAGGCGTAGGGAGGCAACCCTCTCGTTCACCGGAGTTAACTCCAACGTAGCAGCGCTCAGCCGGGGACTTGTGAGTATCCCCACGCCCGCCTGGCGCCTCACACCTTGAGCAAGTCCAGAGAAGAATAGTGTCCTTCCCCTATCAAGGAGAACGGTTCCAGAACCAAGACATGTGCATGGAGGTCAGCCCACCGGATCTAACTGGTCGCGCTCCATCTCCCGCACAAACTCCGGCTCCTTCCCCCACAGAGAGGTTAGGGGTTAGGGGCCAATTAAAGTCTGCAACAACAGGACAAAAAAACTCCAACACCGTGAATCCAAACAATAAGAACCTGTGCACAGGTTCCCAAGCTACACAGGTATGACACAAATAGCTAATCAGCCAATCACATGGCAGCAACACCATGCATTTAGGCATGTAGACGAGTGTGAAACGTCGCCTGGTCTGATGAGTCTCGATTTCAGCTGCAACATTCAGATGGTAGGGTCAGAATTTGGCGTAAACAACATGAAAGCATGGATCCATCCGGCCGTGTATCAACGATTCAGTCTGGTGGTGGTGTAATGGTGTGGGGCATATTCTTGGCATACTTTGGACCCCTTAGTACCAACTGAGCGTTGTTTAATTGTTACAGTCTACCTGAGTGCTGACCATGTCCGTCCCTTTATGACCACAGTGAAAACTGAAAACATAGTTATGGATATTATATTGTATTTCTGTCAGTAGATCCTCAGAAATATTACACACTGAACCTTTAACTGCTGGTCAAAGGTCTGTTTTATTAGAGTGTGTCTGTTTTATTGTCATCTCCATAGTAGCTGTAACCAGGATGTTGTTAAGATCTGGTCATGTTCCAGCATATTCCAATAATTCTCATTGCTTTATCCTCTGGCCTGCAGTTTGTCATTGACCATCGGCCACTTTGGCTCAATCACCTTACTTTGTCACTTTGCCACTTTGATTGAGGACAAAGTGTGAACAAAGTGTGAACAAAGTGACTGTGCTAGTCAAGCTTTCTTGGCTGCTGACTGAATTCGGCATTTACTATTTATTTTGATGTTTGTAAGATTATGCAATTAATTTAACAAAAACTTAACTGGTGCTGAAAGTTGAATCAAACTATTGTTCATTTGGTGTGAATCTTTTTGTTGTTTTAAGTTTTGAAACAGAAACCTCATGTCCTTCAAAAGGCTTTCTTTAACAGTCAAGCTGCAGGTCAAAGGTCTGATTTATTGCTGCCAAGTCTGTGTGGATCATATTCATAAAATCAGCAGGGAAAAGATGTAAATCAAGATTTACCTGCAGTTCAGTATCCACATTAATTTGACATCTTCTCATTTTCACTAAGGTCATTCTGCCAGTTTAAATGATTTCTAACCATTTTTTAAACAATTCAACAAATTTTCTTGTTTTTGAGAAATAATATGAGAGAATATAAAAATTGAAACTTGAATTGAAACACTGTTTTCTGATGCACAGGAACCTAAAACTAACTTAACTACCATCACTACTGTAATGACTACAACAGCAAACACTTGTCATGTCATGTAGTAAGTGTAGAAAAGCCAGTCTAAGAAAAGAAAACCATTAATTATGAAAGTCTATACTCAGTCAGACTGTGATAGTTACTGTACTTTCCTTTTTCTGGATCACTTCAATGTAACATTCAACCTGTGGGAACTTTGAGTCTCCTGATGTCATTAACACTGGGTGTTAAATTCACTTTGTCCTTCTTGTTCTGCTGAAGAAAAAGGTCACCTCAGGTCTCAGGTGAGTTCAAGTGCAGATATCTGAGTGTTGACAGTGACCTCCATATTGAAAGAGGAGGGTGGTTCTAAGCCACTTATGATTAAAGTTCAGATCAAAGTCGCAGTTCTTCTTTCCAATCAGGTTCCTTGTTTCCTCCTGACACACCTTCTGTCTCCTCTCTGCACTCTGCTCTCAGTGAGTCCGTCACTGTGAAGTCTGTACGTTCCCTTATTGGAGGGAAAATGACGCCGAAACAAGTTCTGGTGAGTCGACTCGAGAAAATGCAAATATATAAAAAATATACACAGAGTAATGAGTTTAACAGACACTTATGTGTGTAACTAAATGTGTTTTGCAGTGCAGTAAAACAGTCTACATGTTCAGTTTGTGTTGAGATGAATGCTTTACTTGTTTGTGTGTTGACTTCAGTCACATTGTGGTGCAGGTATGAAAGTATCAGAAACAGCGGACATTACAGTTTTGTACAGAAATAACCTCAGAGTTGAATCAACAGATTGATTTTTACAGATAAAGTCATTTTACAGGACTATTGTTCTGAAGTTCTGAACAGTTCACATGGGTTTCTATATTTCTGGTCACTCAGGTATTTCTTCTAATAAAAGCTACATCCTTGTGTTACTACAGACTGATTTAAACAATCCTCTGATGTGTGTTGACCCTTCAGGCCTGGTGATCAGATGGATCAGTCACAGCTTGTACCTGCCACCATCACATCAATAACTGAAAGGAATCTGCTTTATTCTCACTTTTAATAAATAAAAACACTATGGCGTCAACTTCAGGTACGTGCACCATGTTCACATGTTGGAAGAGAAAATAAATGACACCTGCAATGTATTACACATTTCCTTGTTTTTGGTCAGATGAGTTTAGAAATCAATTTTAAAAGATGTTCTATACATTACTAGAGATATTCAACTCTTTCCGTTCATAGATAATAGAATCACTGTAGCTGTGTCCACAGAATAAAACAAAGGTCAACAAAGAAACAAAACCCTGACATGATTAAGATCACAGTGATAAGAACACTGATATGACTATTACTGATTAATCTTTTACCGGTCCAATTATTACAGTATGATATACAGTGACTTTTTTCAACAAAGCCAGTGTTATAAAAATTTTAAAATGTTGGTAAGCTGAATGAGAAAGAGTATATAAGTATGAACAGACTTCAGAATGTTTTTAGATTCCAGTTTTAAAAAGTAACAACACATTTTGTAACACTTAATCAGAGCAGGTTGTCCCTGAACTCCACATGTCCACCTCCAGTATATGAAAATTGAATGAAAACGTCTGTTTTGTGGAGATTTTTGTTAAGAGCAAATTTAACTGCAGTGCTGTAGGCTACATGTCTTATTTAGGATTGTAGCTCTACAAGACAAGTCTCAGTTCCTTTTATTGTATTTTTTATTCCAAGATTAGATGCTGTATATTGCTGCCCCTCACAACTGATGCTACATATTTTGCAGATTTGATTCAGTCCAATCTTACTGTTGTATGAAGGCTTTTTAGAGAAAACATGATGTGAATGAATTAATTTGTCTGTCTTTACACTCACAGGTGTGTCCTCCCTGAAGCACAGCAGCAGCTATGAAATCCTGCCACCTCACAGTGAGTCCAACTGAACTGAGTCAGAATTATGACTACACTGAACAAAATTATAAATGCAACCCTTTTGTTTTTGCCCCTATTCATCATGAGCTGAACTCAAAGATCTAAGACTTTCTCTAAGTACACAAAAGGCCTGTTTCTCTCAAATATTGTTCACAAATCTGTCAAAATCATAAAATCAGGGTACAAAACAGCTGGAAACAAAGATTGAGAAAGAGTGATCACGTGGGATATGTCAGTTTAAAAAGATGTGCTTTCAGGCGGGATTTAAAAATGGAAAGCGAGTCACTGTTGCAGATGTCTGGTGGAAGAGAGTTCCAGAGACGAGGGGCAGAGCAGCTGAAAGCTCTGAACCCCATGGTGGTCAAACGAGCAGGAGGTACAGTGATGTGAATAGAAGAAGAAGACCTAAGAGGACGTGTGGGGGTGTTACTATGAAGGAAGTCAGTGACGTACGGAGGAGCGAGGTTATGAATGGCCTTGAAGGTCAGGAGCAGATTCTTGAAATCAATGCGGTATTTAACTGGGAGCCAATGAAGCTGCTGAAGGACAGGAGTAATATGATTAATAGAAGGGGTTCTGGTGATGATACGGGAGCGTGCAATTGGCATGCTGACTGCAGGAATGTCCACCTGCAGTCAGCTGTTGCCCATGAATTGAATGTTTATTTCTCTACCAAAAGCCATCTCCAAAGACGTTTCAGAGAATTTGGTAGTATATCCAACCGGCCTCACAACTGCAGACCACATGTAACCGCACCAGCCTAGGAATTCCACATCCAGCTTCTTCATGTCCAAGATCGTCTGAGACCAGTCACCAATTGTCTGTTGCAGCTGCTGCAACAATTGGTTGGCATAACCAAAGAATTTCTGCATAAACTGTCAGGAACCATCTCAGGGAAGCTCATCTCCATGCTCGTCATCCTCATCGAGGTCTCAACATGACTGCAGTTCATCGTTGTAACCAACTTGAGTGGGCAAATGCTCACATTCAACTTGGCACTTTGGAGAGGTGTTCTCTTCATGGATGAATCACTGTAGTAGTAGTTTCAATAGTAGTAGTTTCAATTTTCACTGTACAGAGCAGATGGCAGACAGCGTGTGGATCGAGTGGCGTATGGTGGCGGTGTGGTTACGGTATGGGCAGGCGTGTGTTATGGACAACGAACACAGGTGCATTTTATTGATGGCATTTTGAATGCACAGAGATACCGTGACGAGATCCTGAGGCCCATTGTTGTGCCATTGATCGAAGACCATCACCTCATGTTGCAGCATGATAATGCACAGCCCCATGTTACAAGGATCTGTACATCGCCGTCTTAGTACATACAGGAGCCTCTCTCCATGTTGCTCTGTATACACACATATTGTCCAGTAGTGTAGCCGTAATCATAACAGTGCCAATGTTCTACGAGAATAAGCAGTGATACATCGAGTGGAGTTAAAGCAGAGGAGCCCACATGTCTGTGAAAGACCCCTCATTACCTTCTGCAACTGTCTTTCATGGGGGAGGGCCCTGAATATTTCCCTATACCATAATGTGACAGTAGGGGGTTTATTGTTGATCCAATTAATTAAAATATATTTTCTGGCCAATAATTGTAATTTATCGCATAATTTGAACTGTAAATGGGTTAGAGTCACCTCCCTTGAGGGGAGGCTGAAAATGAAAAGGCCTGGGTCCCTCTGAATTCTTGCATGGAATATGCCACTTAGTTCCTGTGAGATCATACTCCAAAATCTTTTTATCACTTTACATTGCCAGAATTAAGGACAATATGTTCCAATCTCTCTATGACACTTGTTACACAAAGGTGAAACCTGTCGGTCCATCTTATTAAGTGTGTAAGGAGTTATGTGTAGACAATGTAGTATTTTATACTGTCTCTTTCAGTCTATTACATGTAAAAGTGGATTTAAATACTTCAATAGCCTTCTGCCAGTCATCCTCAATATACTCTGAGTCGAGATCTGTCTCCCACTTCTGTGCAATGCTTATAATACCATCTGGACTAAGAGAGTATAGCAGTGCATAGAGGGAAGAGATAAAGCCGGTGATGCCTCCCGAGGAAATAAAGAACCTCTCTACATCACTGTACATGACTGGTTCAGGAGGGGGTAAGGTCTTAGATCCAATGCAGTGCCTGACCTGGAGTAAACCATAATGGTTTTCTTTGGGGATACCAAATTTTGACTGCAGTTGTTTGAAAGTCATTAATAGCCTGTCGTGGTACAAATCTCCAATCATACGCACCCCATTGCCATGCCACATATCAAAAATGTTGGGATGGAGGTTCCTCGTTATAGGGGTTAAGAACGAGGCATTGTTTCCTCTTCCTAGGTATTTACAGATTTCCTGCCACACTCTAATATTGCTGTATAATCGGGTTATTCTTGATATCGCTGTGCAATTTGCTCTTATCACTCAGGACCGGGCTCCATAGCGAAGATGGCAAAGAGGACCATGAATCTAGACGGGGCTTGAACTCAAGATGAGAATGTAACCATTGCCGCAGAAAGCGAGCGTGGTACGCACAGTTGTAAAGAATTATGTTCGGCAGGCCCAAGCCTCCCCTGTCAGAGGGCAGCTGTAGTATTTTCATTTTGTCTGGGTGTTTTGCCGTGCCATATGAATCTAGAGAATGCTCTTTCTATATCAAGAGCAGTCTTGGATATCCACAAGGGTAGCATTTGTAAAGGATATAATAACCTGGGGAATACATTCATTTTGATTAAACTGATGTGCCCCATAAGAGATAGGGGGAGATTGTGCCATCTAAGTCCTTCTTTATTTTAGTTGCTATTGGAGAGTAGTTGAGCTTCCATAGCTCCGTCAAGTTTGGTGAAACGTTTATCCCAAGGTAGGTGAAATCTGTGGGAGACAGTTTAAAGGGAAAATTGGTGGATGAAGACAGATCAACCAGCTACCCAATGGCATGGCCTCTGACTTGCCATAGTTGATCTTGTAGCCTGTAAAGGAGCCAAACTCTTAAATAAGGATAGTTGGTATTGATATCTCAGGTTTTGTCAGAAACAACAGGATGTCATTGGCATAAAGTGCTATTTTATGAACTGTTCCTCCAACCGTAATCCCATGCACGTCTTTGTGTTGCCTAATTACCTCAGCCAGGGGCTCAAGTGCCAGCGCAAAGAGCAGCGAAGAAAGGGGGCAGCACTGTCTCGTCCCCCTACGCAGCGAGAAACGCAATGACTGTATGCCATTAGTTACAACGCAGACCTGTGGAGAGTTGTAGAGTATCCTAATCCATTTGAGAAATTCCCCTCCCAGCCCAAACCTCTCCAGTGCATCAAATAAATATTCCTACTCTACCCTATCAAACGCCTTTTCGGAGTCTAAAGATACAACAAGTCCTTTATAATTTGTCTGACTTGAGTACTGTATCACATTCAATAGTCTCCTCACATTTGTGAGGGACAGCATGTTCTGTATAAATCCAGTCTGGTCTGGACTTGAAATCCAGTCTGACCTTTTCCCCCCCAGAAGTGGCGTAGCATAATCTTGAGGTCCACAGTCTTGTCTTTGCCAGATTGGTGGGAAAGATTTGGGGAGAGCACGCTGGCATTTGTTGTTCGCCGCTTCTCCTCCGTTTTTCTCGTTCTGAATAGTAGTTCTCTTGAGTTTTGCTGCGTCATGAGAGCAGTGTCGCTCTGGGTGCTAGCAACATGGGAAACACCGCAAGATCTCTGCACGCTCAGCTGAGCAGCATGGGAAACACCGCGACACCAAGCAGGCCAGAAAACGTGTAGTGGATTCCAGTGTACTACGGCCTCTACCGAGATTCACCACAGCATCAACACTCAAAATAGAACTTTTCAATTCAACTTTTCAAATTCAACAAATAAAGCAAATAAAATAAATATTCCACTTTCAACATCAGCCAATAACCTGGGTGTTAAAATGGACTCTCATCTGATCTTTGAGGCTCACATCAAACTCTCAAAATCTCTGCAAGACTTCCTTCTTCCAACTCAGGAACATCACCAAACTCCGTCCCATACTCACTCCTGCAGATGCGGAAAAGCTTGTCCACGCTTTTGTCTCCTCCAGGCTGGACTACTGCAATGCACTCCCTGAGAAAAGCCTTCAGAAATTGCAGTACATCCAGAACAGCGCTGCTAGGATCCTGTTGAGGGTGCGCAAACACGACCACATCACCCCCATCCTCAAATCACTCCACTGGCTTCCTGTCTCATTCAGGATTGAGTACAAGATCTCCCTCCTTACCCACCAGTGCATCTATGGTGAAGCACCCCCCTACCTCAAGGAACTTCTCACCCCACAGACCTCAACACGTACCCTCCGATCTGCCTCAGCATATCTCCTGAAACCTCACAGGACAAAGCTCCGTAAAATGGGAGATCGGGCTTTCTGCTCAGCTGCTCCCAGTCTGTGGAATGCTCTCCCTGACCACCTGAGGACACCACAGACAGTGGATGCTTTTAAACGTGGCCTTAAAACCCACCTTTTTAGGAGAGCTATTGAACTCTTGCCCTTTTCCTTATTGTTTTTTTCATGCTCTCCATTTTTTTTTATTTTTAGCACTTACCTGTTTTATCATGTAGCACTTTGGGATTTCAATATAAAGGGCATTCCAAATTAAATGTATTATTATTATTATTATTATTAAGATGGCAGGAACTTTTCCAGTCTTGTTGTAAGCAGTTTTGAACAATTTACTATCCACACTAATAAGGCTAATGGGTCTATATGAGCCACAGATATCAGGTGGTTTATCTTTCTTAAGGATTAGTGTGATGTTGGCTAGATTAAGTGATGCGGGGAGGTGACCGATATTCTGAGAATCTGAGAACATGTCAGTAAGCGGCCCGGCTACCAGGTAACTCAGTTTCTTGTAGAATTCTGGGCAAAACCCATCAGGTCCTGGTGCTTTTCCACCCCTGAGGGAGGCTATGGCCGCGCAGAACTCCTCTTCAGTCACTGGTACATTCAGTTTTTCCTTTTGTTCCCCCGACAGGGATAGGAGGGACACCATATCGAGAAACTCCTTTCTCCTCCTCTCGGATAACTCACAGTCAGATGAATGAAGCTTTTGGTAAAATTGCCTCATTGTCGTATTGATATCCTTCGTTTTGTAATGTCTGACCTGATTGTCATCTAGCAGTGACAGTATCATATTTGCCTCCATTCTGCCTCTTGCCAATCTTGCAAAGAGACGCCCAGGTTTGTTTCCTGACTCATAAAGCCTATACTTAGCAAAGAAGATGGCCAATTCAGCCTTTCCAGTTAACAGCTGGTTAAGGGCTGAGCGAGCTGCTTCCAATTTTTTGGACAAAGATCTAGAAGGTGCACCTTTAAGGTGTAATTCCAGCTTTTGTATTGCACTCTCTAAGCTGAGTTGTTCTTTCATTGCAGTCCTTCTCTGAGCTGTGTTGTACAAAATAATACTCCCCCTGAGATAAGCTTTAAGTGTTTCCCACAGCAGAGAAGGGCTGACATCTGGGGTCTGGGGTCTTATTAGCAGCAATAAAAACATTCCTCTGTTCAGTAATATAGTCAATGAATGGTGGGATACTCAACAGAGAGGGGTTCATCCTCCAGTGGCGAGAGGAGGAATCAGTGTAAGAAGGGCGGATGCTGAAGCTTACATGAGGGTGGTCAGAGAGTGAGCATATGCCAATTGAACACTCCCTCACCCTATCTAAAGCCCCTCTGGACGTCAGGAAGAAATAAATTCTTGAAAATGTCTGATGGGAATTGGAAAAGAAAGTATAGTCTCTCTGTCCGGTATTAATTTTTCTCCAAGTGTCAAACAGCTCTAAGTCACGGCAGAACTCTTTCAGCGTAAGGCTCTTCCGAGAGGTTGGGCCAGATTTAGGTGGGGACTGGTCAGTGCTTGGGTCAGGCACACAATTAAAGTCGCCTCCTAATACAACATATGGGGTCGATACTGATGAGACCTCAGGTTGAAGCTTAGGGAGAAAGTCAGAATCATATGAATTTGGGCCATATTTGCAGCCTATGAGGATCTGTTCCCCATAAAGAATAAATAGACAGCTCTGTGAGATATAGTATGGAAGGTTTCAGAGATATGATGACATAAAAACACGAAAATGAGGTAACATCACGAACAAAGTATTCAACCCCAAATGATAAAGACCCAACAAACGCCCAAAAGCAGTAACCCCCCATCCCCGACCTCCCCACCTCTCCATATCCCAATATAGGCCAGTATTACACCACTCAGACAACAGCGGCATCAGCAGTGTAGGAAAATGTTCATTTTTATTTCACCGGCAGGACTGGCAAAACATATGCAAAGCTGTCCGTCGAGCGGCACCAGGAACACACACTTTTTCCGACCAGCGCCACGTCTAACAACAGCGACTTCTTCTAATGAGGCTTTTTGACATATGTCACAGCTTATCCTGCCCCCTACTGGCATTGCAAGGAAACATTATTGAACAAGCATTCCAGTATACTAGGCTATTAACACAACTTGTTACCTTAGAGTAACTGGCATGTATTACACACAAAGAAACACATTAACAGGTGCCACACCAGCAGTGTGGCCCTTTGAAAAACCAGGGGCACACGTGGAACAGAGCAAAAACATAACTGAAAGAAAAGAAAGGGGAAACAAAGACAAATAACCCTCTCCATTACCCCCGCTCGCAGAAATGATCACAACCATCTCACATACTCCGATTTTAACAACCTGCTCAACATGAACCAATCATTAGCCTTTGTTGTAGTGTACAAAAGCGGCATGAGAAGAAAAAGAAAGGTAATAAAAAATTAAATAAGAATTAGTTTTTCCTCACAGAGAGTATTATACATACCTTTGCAAAAGTTATCAGAGGTTTTGCAGTGTCTGCAAACAGTGAGGCATCGCGTATTATTAAAATGTCAATACACCTCCAGTTTAACCCAGTCCGTCCAAGAAGGCGAGTGTATCCTTCAGTGAGTGAAAAGAGTAACTTTTCCCTCCGAGGGAGAAACTCAGAGTAACGAGGAAGGGGTTAATAAGTTGTTGGCGCACACAGTTAAACGCATGTCTCATTTTCTTGACTCCACTCGCCCGATCCTGTCGGATGAATATGGTCTGTACCTCATGTGTCAGTGGTTCTTTCTCCTTGGCGAGGATCCTCATCTTGTACCTCAGGTTGTGCAGCTTGATGATCACTGTGCAGCGCCGGTCAGGCTTTGGCGGACAGAGGGTCCTGTGGGCACGGTAAATTTTAATGAGACCCCGTTTGGCGCAACCGATTGTCGGCCCTCCGCCTTTTCCTTGAGGTTGTAGATTGAAATGATGATGTGCACTTTGGTCTCCAGGCCCTTTAAGCTGGACTCCATTGTCGACATGTTATCATCCACTGCCGATACACGACTCTCAGTTTCCGTAATGCGTTTTGTGTTGGACTCCAGTCATGTTGTGATATTGTCAGTGTAGCCGAGAGATCTTCAAATTTCCTCTCCATCATAGCAGATATTTTCTCAACAACGCTCTGGGATATTTCCATAGCAAGGGTCCCACAATCCGCATCAGGAGGTTTAGCATTCTTGCTAGCAGGCACGGTCTTTTTCACTTCTGGCGGGCTTGTCTACCGCAGGTTTATAGGCTTTAGTGTTAGGCATGTTGTCTGGATATTGTTTAGCAAACATTTAAGGTTGTGACTTTCCTTTAAAATTAAGTAAATAGTCAGGTATAGCTCGGTAGCAGTGGGAGCACAGCAATGGTCAACTGCTCAGTGTGACAGCATGACGTGACCCCCCTCGAGTGGCCTTTTATTGTGGCCAGCCTAAGGCACACCTGTGCAATACCCATGCTGTATGGTCAGCATCCTCACACCTGTGAGGTGGATGGATTATCTCTGCAAAGGAGAAGTGCTCTCTAACACAGATTTTGAACAATATTTGAGAGAAAGAGGCCTTTTGTGTACATAGAGTAAGTATTAGATCATTGAGTTTAGCTCATGATGAATAGAGCAAAAACAAAAGTGTTGCGTTTAAAATTTTGTTCAGTGTATAAAAGTCAACCACAGTAGAAGTTTACTTCAATTAACCAGAGAAGAACACAAAACTCACTCACTTAAACAGAAAAGACCAACAATAACTACAAAAGGCTGTGGACACTGTGACGCTCTCCATCTCTGCTACAAACATGTCACCAGGTTGCAGCACTGTTGCCAATTGATTTTGTGGAGTAAAAGGCACAAAGGAAAGCTTTTACACTTTTAATATACATTAGTAAGCCTCCTAAAATACCAACTATGTCTTCTAGAAATTATACTTATATACTATAATTTCTAAGAGCAAATTCATTTTGAAAGAAACATAATTGTGTTTTTATCAACATAATGTTATTAATATATATATTTTATCTGATTATATCTACATTTATTTATTTACTTACTCCATCTATTTTCATTCCAGTGTCTGAGCTGAGGGTTGTTCTGCTGGGGAACAGCTGGTCTGAGAGGAGTTCAGTGGGGAACATCCTACTGGGAGAGACTAAGTTCAACACTGAGGAAGAACCAGACCGCTGTCTGAGAGAAAGAGGACGGTTAAAGGAGAAAGAAATAGTTCTCATCAACACCCCAGATCTGCTGCATCCCAACATCTCTCAACACAAACTGACAGAACATGTGACAAACTGTGTGAGACTCTCTGATCCTGGACCTCATGTGTTCCTGCTGGTTCTACAGCCTGAAGACTTCACTGAGAAACACAAACTGAGGCTCTGCAGAGTCCTGAAACTCTTCAGTGATCGATCATTTGATCATTCACTGGTTCTGATATCAACACCCAGAGTGGAGGTTCCAGGTTTGATGGACAAATACATGGAACAGCCTCCATTAAAAGACCTGATCAGAAAATGTCGATACAGATACCTGAAGCAGAAGAACCTCGACCTCACAGAACTGTTAACACAATTGGATAAAACTGTAAAAGAGAATAATGGAGATCATGTCAGTTGTGAAGTGTTTGAGGATGCAGGTTCAATCATCAGACCAAAGTCTGAACACATCAGACCAGCTTTAAACCTGGTTCTGTGTGGGAGGAGAGGAGCAGGGAAGACTTCAGCAGCCAAGGCCATTTTAGCTCAGACAGAGTTTCATTCATACTCCGTCTCATCAGAGTGTGTTAAACATCAGGGAGAGGTGTGTGGACGTTGGGTTTCCCTGGTGGAGCTGCCTGCCTTGTATGGAAAACCTCAGGAGGCAGTGATGGAGGAATCACTCAGGTGTATCTCCCTCTGTGATCCTGAGGGCGTCCATGTCTTCATCCTGGTCCTACCTGTGGGTCCCCTCACTGATGAAGACAAGGGAGAGTTAAAGACCATCCAGAACACATTCAGCTCTCGAGTCGATGACTTCACCATGATTCTGTTCACTGTGGAGTCAGATCCTGCAGCTCCAGCTGTTGTTAACTTTGTAAAGGAAAACAAGGACATCCAGGAGCTCCGTCAGAGCTGTGGAGGAAGATATGTTGTTCTCAACATCAAGGACGAGCAGCAGATCCCAGAGCTGCTGGACATGGTGGACAAGATGAGACAATCTGAAAATAAACCATCCTGCTATACAGCTGTAACATTTGCACGTGCACAAATGGAAAAGGTCATACAACAAGAGAGGATAATAAAGAAGAACAAGATCACTTGTAAGTACTTTGAATTAAAATGTTTTTCTGTGTCCTGAACCATGTTGATCATCACAGTCTTTACTGTAGCTGCTGAGAATATTTAAAGTAACTCCAGGTCTTCTTCTTTCCCAGGTGATGATGAGGAGCAGAGCCCAGAGAGTCTCAGGATTGTGCTGATAGGGAACACTGGAAGTGGAAAGAGCTCTACAGGAAACACCATTCTAGGAAGAGACGAGTTCAAAGCTGAATCAAGTCAAACATCAGTCACCAAACTTTGTCAGAAAGCACAGAGTAAAGTGGACGGTCGTCCGGTCGTTGTGGTCGACACTCCTGGTCTGTTTGACACAACTTTGTCCCATGAAGAGGTTCATGAGGAGATGGTAAAATGCATCAGTCTTCTGGCTCCAGGACCACATGTCTTCCTGTTGGTGTTACAGATCGGGAGACTCACACCAGAGGAGAAGGAGACATTAAAACTCATCAAGGAAGGCTTTGGGAAAAATGCTGAAAAGTTCACCATCATTCTTTTAACTGGAGGAGATAAACTGGAGGATGAGAAAGTTTCCATTGAAGAATACATTGAACATAAATGTGATGCTTCCTTTAAGAAGCTGATCTCTGACTGTGGAGGAAGATACCATGTGTTTGATAACTATGATGAAGAAAACCGCACACAAGTCAGTGAGCTGATAACCAAGATTGACACCATGGTGAAGGAAAATGGAGGCAGCTGCTACACCAATGAGATGCTGCAAGAGGCCGAGGCAGCTATAAAGAAAGAAATGGAGAGAATCCTGAAGGAGAAGGAAGAAGAGATGAAGAGAGAGAGGGAGGAGCTTCAAAGAAAACATGAGGAGGAAATGCAAGAGATGAAAAGAAGAATGAAAGAACAGAGAGCAGAAACTGAAAAGGAGAGAAAACTGAGAGAAAAACAACTTAAAGAAAAGGAGGAGAAGATAAAGAAGGAACATGAGGAGAGAAAGAAAGAACAGGAAATGAGAGAAGAAGAAGACAAGAAGAGAAAAGAACAGGAAGAAGGTCAACGACAGGAGTGGGAACGAAAGGTTGAAGCTTTGGAGCAAAATATAAGATCAGAGTCAGAATCAAAGGAAATGATTGACAGAAAGCTGAAGGAGAGCAGAGAAGAGATGAGAAAAGAACGAGAGAACTGGGAGAAAACACAAAATGAATGGTGGAAAAAACGATATGAAGAAGATGAACGGAGACGACAGGAGGAACAAAGAAGACTTAGAAAGCTTCAAGAAGAATACGAACAGGAAAGAGAAAATGATGAAACGAAAAGAAAGGAAGAGGACAGAATCAGAAGAGAAAGAGAGGAAAAACAGAAAAAAGTACAGAGAGCAGAAATTGAAAAGGAGAGAAAACTGAGAGAAAAAGAACTTGAAGAAAAGGAGGAGAAGATAAAGAAGGAACGTGAGGAGAGAAAGAAAGAACAGGAAATGAGAGAAGAAGAAGACAGGAAGAGAAAACAACAGGAAGAAATTCAACGACAGGAGTGGAAACAAAAGGTTGAAGATTTGGAGCAAAAAATAAGATCAGAGTCAGAATCAAAGGAAACCATTGACAGAAAGCTGAAGGAGAGCAGAGAAGAGATGAGAAAAGAACGAGAGAACTGGGAGAAAACACAAAGAGAATGGTGGGAAAAACGATATGAAGAAGAAGAACAGAGACGACTGGAGGAACAAAGAAGACTTAGAAAGCTTCAAGAAGAATACGAACAGGAAAGAGAAAATTATGAAAAGAAAAGAAAGGAAGAGGACAGAATCAGAAGAGAAAGAGAGGAAAAAGAGAGAAAAAGACAGAGAGCAGAAATTGAAAAGGAGAGAAAACTGAAGGAAAAAATACTTAAAGAAAAGGAGGAGAAGATAAAGAAGGAACGTGAGGAGAGAAAGAAAGAACAGGAAATGAGAGAAGAAGAAGACAAGAAGAGAAAACAACAGGAAGAAATTAAACGACAGGAGTGGGAACGAAAGATTGAAGCTTTGGAGCAAAATATAAGATCAGAGTCAGAATCAAAGGAAACCATTGACAGAAAGCTGAAGGAGAGCAGAGAAGAGATGAGAAAAGAACGAGAGAACTGGGAGAAAACACAAAGAGAATTGTGGAAAAAACGAAAACAAGAAGAAGAACAGAGACGACTGGAGGAACAAAGAAGACTTAGAAAGCTTCAAGAAGAATACGAACAGGAAAGAGAAAATGATGAAAAGAAAAGAAAGGAAGAGGACAGAATCAGAAGAGAAAGAGAGGAAAAAGAGAAAAAAGACATCGAAGAGAAACATCAGAAACAAATGGAGAATCAGAAAAAGACATATGAAGAGGAGGCTAGAAAGAAAGAACAGGAAATCAGACAAGAAGAAGACAAGAAGAGAAAACAACAGGAAGAAGGTCAACAACAGGAGTGGAAACAAAAGGTTGAAGCTTTGGAGCAAAAAATAAGATCAGAGTCAGAATCAAAGGAAACCATTGACAGACAGCTGAAGGAGAGCAGAGAAGAGATGAGAAAAGAACGAGAGAACTGGGAGAAAACACAAAGAGAATGGCGGGAAAAACGAAAACAAGAAGACGAACAGAAACGACAGGAGGAACAAAGAAGACTTAGAAAGCTTCAAGAAGAATACGAACAGGAAAGGGAAAATTATGAAAAGAAAAGAAAGGAAGAGGACAGAATCAGAAGAGAACAAGAGGAAAAAGAGAAAAAAGACATTGAGGAGAAACAGAAGAAGAAAATGGAGAATCTGAAGAAGACGTGTGAAGAGGAGGCCAGACAGAAAGCTGAAGGGTTGAATGAATTCAAAGAGAAATACAAGAAGGAGTTTGCAGCTCAGAAGAAACAGCATGAAGAAATAATGACAGAAAAAGATAAACAATATGACATCTTAAAGGCATTTTTAGCCCGCAATGAAGAACAACTAAAGAAAAAATATCAAGGTGAAATTTCTGACTTAGTGAAATGTGTGACCAAGAAGAGAGAAAACCTTGAAACTATCAATGACTTACTGAAGAAACATGAAGAAGAAATGAATAATGTGAAAAATGATCAGGAAAAGAAAAATCTGCAGGAAACACATGACAAAGAACTAAGTGACCTGATACAGGAACTTTTGAAACAAGAAGACACATCATGGTGTTCTATTTTATGAGGATCTGTTTCATGTAAACGTCTCATCAACAGAGCAGTTTCAATTTTTTTTTCCTGTTTTCATTTGGTTTTAATAACTGAAACTTTAAAGAAGCAGAGATTGTATAGTAATATTTTTCCGAAATACTTCCCATTGGCTATCAGGCGTCTACTTCACCAGCCTATAATATTATGTAGTTCAAGACTTCAAAATCTCAGACTTGTTGTTTCTGATTACGACTTGATTTCAGAGAAATTTCTCTTTCTCCTGTTGTTGGGAATAATTGCCTTTTTGCTGTTTGTTTTCTTTTCTTTTGTCCCAATTAGGGGTCCAAGCCCAAGGGTGCTGGGAACCCGATCGTTCTCGTTTTTTATTTTTAATTTTTTTTTATTCTTCCATGAACAAAACTGATACTGCGGCCTAGATGGTAATTGCTTCAGACGCGAAACTATAGGGTAAGTCCAGGTCACCGCAACCTAATTATAAGCTAACAAATTATTGCTGAAATGCAAAAAACTGCATGTCATGTCTTATCTTAGGTTTGCAATGGCCGATCTACACCAAACTCGGGGACCTTATCTGCCACGCCCTCCTGACGGGCTGTGTGAATTTTGGCGTCTATCGGCCTCTAGGTGGAGCTACTAAGCGGATATCAAATAACACTCCCATAGACATACATTCATTTTATATGTCCGGAACCGCAACTCCCTTTAATTTATAACTCTGCTCGTTTATTCTCAACGGGCCCCCCAAGCCACGGATCAACTCGCGTGGGGGGCGGCTGGCGCCAGGAGGCTTGGACCCTGCTTACAACTGCTTGCAGTTCTAGTTGTTTAAGTGTAATTATTTCTTAATTAAAAATAATAATAAAAATAGACAGCAGTTGAGTAAAGAAATACTTCAACAGTTGAAGCTCTGATTGGTCATTAGAGATGATTTTTTTTATATGTATTGCATCAGAAATTTGCTCATCAAACATATCTGTTCAGGTTTGCACCATTTGTTTACCATGCCCTGAGCAAGATTTGATCTTGACCTAAAACCGCTTGACTATTCAGATAGACTGTGAGAGTATATGCTTCAAAGTTTTTTCATTGATCTCCATGGATTGATCTCCATGGAGAAATGCCACGCTGGTTAGAACTCAAAAAAGAGAGTGTCAAAAAGCTGAACGCAGGTGGCGGAAAACAAATCTCCAGGTTCATTATGACATCTATAAAGAGAGACTTCGCATTTATAATTTAGAACTGAGAAATGCAAGGCGGTCCTTCTTCTCTGACATCATCACCAAAAACACTAATAACGCACGTGCCCTGTTTGCTACTGTCGACAGGCTAACCAACCCTCCATCCCCCAGTGCTTTCTTGGCACTAAATAACTGTTTTGATGTCTTCCAGTCAGGTTTTCGACCACACCACAGCACTGAGACGGCTCTTTTTAAGGTCTTCGATGACATCCATTTAAACACTGACAGTGGCAGAATTTCAGTCTCAGTCGACCACAACATATTACTAGGCAGACTTGAAAACTGGGTTGGACTTTCTGGCACAGTACTAAAATGGTTGGAATCCTACTTAAAGGACAGGGACTACTTTGTGTCTTCAGGTAATCACACAAATGAGCTAACAAAAATGACATGTGGAGTTCCCCCAGGCTCCATTCTGGGACCTCCTTTTGTTTAACATTTACATGCTTCCACTGGCTCAGATTATGAAAAACAACAAAATATGTTACCATAATTATGCAGATGACACACAGATTTACATAACCATTTCACCAGGGGACTATGTTCCCATACAGGCGCTGAGTAACTGTATTGAGCAGGTCAACAACTGGATGTGCCGGAATTTTCTTCAATTAAACAAGGATGAAACTGAAGTTATTGTTTTTGGAGCCAGGGAGGAACGATTGAAAGTCAGTGCTCGACTTTAATCTGTAATGTTAAGAACCACAAATCAAGCCAGAAATCTTGGTGTAGTCATGGACTCAGACCTGAATTTGAGGAGCCACATTAAGACAATTACAAAGTCAGCCTACTATCACCTGAAGAATATATCAAGAATTAAAGGACTTATGTCTCAGCAGGACCTGGAAAAACTTATCCATGCATTTATCTTCAGTCGACTTGACTACTGTAACGGTGTCCTTACAGGGCTCCCTAAGAAATCCATCAGACAGCTGCAGCTGATTCAGAAAGCAAGCTGCTCGAGTCCTCAATAAGACCAAAAAGGTGGATCACATCACTCCAGTTCTGAGGTCTTTACATTGGCTTCCTGTATGTCAAATAATTGATTTCAAAATCCTGCTGTTAGTTTATAAAGCACTAAATGGTTTAGGGCCAAAATACATTTCCGATCTTCTGCTTCGTTATGAACCATCCAGACCTCTCAGGTGGTCTGGGATCAGGTCTGCTTTCTGTCCCCAGAGTCAAAACTAAACAAGGAGAAGCAGTGTTCAGTTATTATGCTCCGTATATCTGGAACAAACTCATAGATAACTGCAGGTCTGCTGAAACTGTCAGTTCTTTTAAATTAAGACTGAAGACTTTTCTTTTTACCATTGCTTTTAATTAAATATTTAAGATTTTTCTTTTTATTGATAACTTACACTGCACTGTAACTTTTACTGTGCTGTTTTCTTTTTCTTTGTTTTTAGCTTTTTATTATTGCTTTTAATTAAATATTTCCATTTAACTCTTTTAACCCTGATTGTAACACTGTAACTTTTATTATATTTTATGTTGCTTTTAAACTTTTTTATATTTCCCTGTTGCTTTTATGTTTTATATGAAGAACTTTGAATTACCTTGTTGTTAAAATGTGCTATACAAATAAACTTGCCTTGCCTTGTGAGTTTAACCACTTAATTTCAAATGTAAAGACTTTTCCTGAGCTGACTTTATATTTTTATTACAGCTGAACACCATCAGTGTACAAAGAAGTCTTTGGGTCTTTGGTGACTGAACATTTATAGAAATTATTCTTCAGATAAAAGTGTTAAAAAAGGCTTTGTTGTAACTGTTAGCTCATTTTATTTACTATCTGGGTTAAACTGCACATCTGTCCCACTTAAAGAACTAAAGTGTTTCAATATCAAACAGCTATTGTCCTATTATCTTTGTCCTATTGTGACCGGTTTGTGTTCAATTCCAACCTGAATGTTCTGTTGGGGAGCAGCCAACCAATTAGCACACTGAACACAGTTAATCATAAATCCTAATGTATTTGAGAACAATTTAAACGCACAGATAAAAGTAGTCATAAGACACTTAAGCTGACTCCACATGTGAAAATCCCACTGATGTACTTGGTCCATTTGCGAACGATCAGTCCGTTCTGGCGGTTTGTGATTCTCCAGGCCGAGATCGTCCAACACCCACTCACAGGAGAAGAGGCGGCCCTGCGTAATACAACAGTGGGTGCAGTTAGGGGAGTACACCTTCCTTTAAGTCTCAAACTCCTTCTCACGCTGTTTCTATACTCTGTAGCTTTTGCCTAATGAGCTCTGTTCTGTTTCATCACTTTATCATCTAGTTTATTAGATTAACAACAGTCCACACTGAACTACAGGGAAACACTTTATTCATCTTTTAGAAGCACAAACAAAGAAAGCAAAGATTAAAGATTGATCTGAATTCTGTCTTAAGTTGATGTCATCAGTTATAAAGCAAAGCGTCTATAATGTCATTCTGCATCATTCTGATTGATCTGATCAGCAGTTTAAATGATCTTCATGTTGTTTAATGTTTCATATTTGCTGTGATATTTGTGATTTGCAGAGAAAACAGGGTGAATGACATCTAAACATTTTATTTCACTTCCAGCACAAACATCATGTTCTTTCTCATATTCAAAACATGAAAATATTTTATCAGAACAAATACTTTGTGTTTTGATTGTATCATCAGATCCCAGATCGTCACAGATTGATGCTTTGTCAGGATGTTGCTTTTTAATGCCCTGGGTAGCCTTTGGTCATTTTTGTATGTGTAGGGCTCCGCAAGTTAGCAAAAATAAATATGCAACAACGGTTAAACTTTCAAAATAAAACTAGTGGTTAATGTTGTGAAACAATGCAGTTTGGTTAGATTTAGGCAACAAACTACTTAGTTAGCTAGAGCCCTATGATTTCTGTGATACAGTAAACAATGGAATCCAGAATTTGATAATAAAAATGGAATCAGCTGTTGAACGCAGAGTATCGCGGAATCTGCTAAAATGAGGTTGCAATTTATAAAAAACTGGGTTTTCCCGGCATTACAAGCGTCGTTTTCACAACACGTAAGCCAAATGAAGAGAAAACTACATTACTATGTTTTGTTTTTATTTACATGTCATTTACGATAGATATGCATAGATATTCTGTCGAGCAGTATGCAGAGGCTGAACTCCAGAGGATCTGTGGGAAGAAATTATCTGTAATCAAGTTATAACATGTTTCATCTGGGACAATGCACAGTACAAGTGTATCAACAAAACGAGCTGTAGCCTATATTCTGCACAAGGTTTTAGTTTCACCAGTCAGATAACTGTATCAGTACTGTTGCTATGGTTACCTGCAGTTTAATATTATAGACTGCTGAAACCTGACAGCCAATGAGAAGTATTTCTATGGCCATGGTCTGCATCACAGTGTAGTCCACTGCTAAATATCACAATGAAATCTCTGTTTCTTTAAAGTTTCAGTTATTGAAACAAAGGAAAACAGGAAAAAATAAAAAAAAAACATCTGAAGCTGTTCTGTTGATGAGACGTTTACATGAAACAAATCCTCATGAAATGGAACAGCTTGATCTGTCGGCTTGTTTCAAAAGTTCCTGTATCAGGTCACTTAGTTCTTTGTCACGTGTTTCACGTGTTGATTTTTCTTTTCCTCCTCAGTTTTCAGATTCTTCATTTCTTCTTCATGTTTTTTCAGTAAGTCATTCATTTTTATCAGATTTTCTCCATTTTTGGTCACACATTTCACTAAGTCATAGATTATTTTCTATACTGTCGCTTCTGAGCTGCAAACTCCTTGTTGTGTTTCTCTTTGAATT